TGCATTGATGTTTCTTTGTTAAAACTCGAGCAGCTTTTAAATTTGTTTTCATACAATGAGGAAACGCTGCTTGAGTTTGTGTTGTTCTGCGTATGGCCCAGTGGGAGTGAGTTGTCTTATATTTCTTCCCACCCATACTGAAATCAACAGTGAATGAAATCATACATACCGGACCAATGTATCATGTGCATGGAGTAGGGGTCTCCCTAGAGCATTATAGAGTTTGGGGAAGGAAACTATTTTATAATTGTGAATTAACATAGATCTAAATTACCATAAAAATTAATACTATAACGGTGGAATATTAATATATATTGTTAAGCAAATTAGTCACAATCCTAATAAATTTCCTGGGGAAGAACAGAAAACACTCTGCTCAGTTTAGAAACATAGCTCTCGCTGTTAAGGATGTGAAGCCACATAATTCATCTTTGAGAAAACCATTTATTACTTTAAGTTGTAAATGATTGTTTATTTATAAAAAAAATTATTTAGTACAGATTTAGATCAGTCTTTAATTCGAAAACATATACCATATTACCCGGGGCACGCGCCCCTCCCTGCGCAAGCGCCCACCCCCTGTTTTCACAAAAGTTACATGTTGGGGACATCCTCGGTTAAACGCCCAGGGTGATTTTTAGCCAAGAACGGGGTCAACAATAAAGTTTTATTTGTCAAAAACGAACGCGTTCGATTTATTTAAATAGTGTGTTTGTTACGGTAGTTCTCTTTTTGGAGTGTGTGGTGGCCCTGAAAAGGGCAGCTTTGTTTGTGTTTTTACGTAAAAACTCATTGGAACTTAACGACGTAAGATGAACCACACAGCATGTGGCGCACACGTTCTGCTTTCTCTTCATTCATGATGAATCCAATATTGCAATGATCCATACCTTGGTGAGTGGTTTGAAGCACTTAGCCTTGGTTTCAAAACGTAGTATTTCGCTGACTGTGAATCCATAACGGGAGCTAGCACTTTTGAGACATCACGTCGTAAACTTGCTACCTTCTTTCCATCCTTCATCACAGCTATGGCATTACGGTCATGTGGATTATTTTTCTGTCGTTGAAGAAAAAACATTTTGCCGACCTCAAGTCTCTTACGATAACCATAATGAGGCATGCCGACGATGGGAACTTGTTGCATCATCGTTATTTTTGTAATTTTGTCACGTGTGTGGGTGCGTGAATAAATCATGTTAATGAGGTCAACCAGAGTTTATTT